TGGTCTCCTTCCCTCCAGTCTGCCCTTTTTCTGTTCTAGATTCACCTTCATTTTTCTTTTAAACACCACCCTCCTTCTCAGCTTTTGACAGCTTTCCATTCCTTATTACTAAACTCCACAATGTGTTCAGTGGCACCTTCACAATCAGGCCACATCTGCCTTTCCCTCTGCACATCCATCATTCCAGCTATCGGAGGAACCCACTCCTGATAATTCACATAGGTTCTATTTCTGTAAGTGTCAGCTGGTCTGGGAAATAAAGGGAAAGAGTACAAAAGAGAGAAATTTTAAAGCTGGGTGTCCCAGGGAGACATCATATGTTGGCAGGTTCCATGATGCCCCCAGGTTGCAAAACCAGCAAGTTTTTATTAGTGATTTTCAAAAAGAGAGGGAGTGTACAAATAGGATGTGGGTCACAGAGATCACATGCTTCACAAGGTAGTAAAATATCACAAGGCAAATGGAGGCAGGGCAAGATCACAGGACCAAGACAAAATTAAAATTGCTAATAAAGTTTTGGGCACGCATTGTTATTGATAACATCTTATCAGGAGACAGGGTTTGAGAGCAGACAACCGGTCTGACCAAAATTTATTAGGCGAGAATTTCCTCGTCCTAATAGGCCTAGGAGTGCTACCAGAGTTGGGGGCTTATTCCATCCCTTATCTGCAACCATAAAAGACAGTCGTTCCCAAAGCAGATATTTCAGAGGCATCCCCTTAGGAACGCATTCTCTTTCTCAGGGATGTTCCTTGCTGAGAAAAAGAACTCAGTGATAGTTCTCCTATTTGCTTTTGAAAGAAGAGAAATATGACTCTATTCTGCCCAGCCCACAGGCAGTCAGACTTTAAGGTTATCGCCCTTGTTCCCTGAAAATCGCTGTTACCCTGTTCTTAAGGTGCCCAGATTTCCTATTGTTCAAATACACATGCTCTACAAACAATTTGTGCAGTTAACGCAATCATCACAGGATCCTGAGGCGACATTCATCCTTAGCTTACGAAGGTGATGGGATTAAGAGATTAAAGACAAGACAGGCATAGGAAATCACAATAGCATTGATTGGGGAAGTGATGTATCCATTAAATTTTAACAATTTATGTTCAGAGATTGCAGTAAAGACAGGCACAAGAAATTATAAAAGTATTAATTTGGGGAACTAATAAATGCCCATGAAATCTTCACAATTTATGTTCTTTTCCCATGGCTTCAGCCGGTCCCTCCATTTGAGGTCCCTGAATTCCCACAACATCCAGCCATACCAGTCCATGCATCCTTCACTAATGTGTCTTTCAGCTGGGCTTCAGGCAGAAAACTGAAACCATTTCTAGGTATTTCAACAGAGAGAATTTATTAAAACAAATGGTTTAAAGAGCATTTGAAATTTTAAAATGAGAACAGGATACTGAAGTAATTCCTGTGTTAAGTAAGCAGGAACTATCTATCACTCTGGGACTGAGGGATTATAGGAAAGAGGATGGAGTTATCAGAAAGTAAAAGTTTGGATAAAAGGGACACCCACAGAGCTGAAACCTGCACCTTTAAGATGAGATAATGGCTGGCTGCTGCAGCTGCCTCTAAAATGCTGAATAGAACCTCCTTGGAGCTGAGGCTTAAACCTCTAGGGAAGGGATGCTTCCAGGCTGGTGTGGGAACCTCTAAGGGTGAGATGAAGCTGGTTATGAATAAAGCTTAACACTGGAACCACATGTTGCTGTTGGTGTGAAGGGCCATTGATGGGCAATACTGTTAGAAGCACCATCAAACAGCATCAAGGAAACAGGATCTTCCACGCCTCCTACCTTCTCTGCTCCCTCTAGTGCCCTCTGTTGGTGGGATCCAGCAGACAACTTGCAGAGTTCAACATCAGAAGGGTGGATTTAGTGTTGAGAGACAATTGCTTAATAACCAATACAATACACTTTCACGTCTCCTTGCCTTTACTCATGCAGTTTCTCTACTTATAATGGTCTTTCTACCAGTATCTGCCTGATGAATGCCTTTGTTCAAATACAATCTCTTTTTTATAATCTCCCTTAATCTTCCCAAAAGTAATTATTTATGATATCATGTGAGTTTCCCTAGTAATTTGTAAAGACATTTTTGTAGATTTTTTTTATATTGTATCATAATGTGTGTTTGTGTGTTTGTTTATTTTCCATTTATTTTCTGCCAAACCATGTACTCCTTTAGGGCAGTTAGTTAACCATAAAATATAGCAGGGTGCCTGGCATACAACAGATATTGATTAAGCTGGATGGAATTGATAAGGGTATTTTAATGAAATTAATCTTAGATCATTTTTTGTAGACATTTTATCATCCCAGCCAGATTTAAACTCCATAAGAGCAGAAATCATGCTTTATATTTCTTTCATTTTCTCTGTGGGGTCTAGTACAAGGTTGAGCATATTGAAAAAGAGCTTAGTGATATTTGTTAACTACCTAGTTTTTTATTAACTACCACAATTTTGGTTCAAAATGACATGAAGATGGAGCATGAATTATGAATATCAGGTAAGATCCATAATTAGGTTTAGATGTGCTTCTAGCACGTGATTTCAACAGTTAGCACTGTATGTATGGTAAAGTTCTGTATTTGTTGGAGGACTAGCACAATCAAGAGACCAAATGTAATATGTTTTATAGTGAATTATAAATAATGAAATATATTATAGGTTTTATTTTTCTCTATTTATCTCCTGCAGAAAATATATCCTGCCAATTCATGAGATTACTAATTCTGGGCTATATTTGTTCCTAGTGTATTTATTAAATTTCTCACAACTATCAAAATCAACTGGTAATTATTTAAATGTAGGAAAATATTGAATTTTAACTTAATCACCAGCTTCTTGTAAAAAGAAACCTCTGTTCAACAGCTGATTTATATTCACATCTAAGAAGAAGAAAAATAGCTTTTTTTTTTTTTCTAAAGGGGAGTGATATGTAATTAACTATTGATTTCTTCTCAATTATTCAAGGCAAGCAATTATCGATATTGATGGAACAGATATTTCCCTACCTCTAGTGCCCAAATGAAAGGAAATATCCCATTCAGCATTCTGCTGCCTGGAACAAGAAATGCTGAGGATCTTTAACTTTAGATGAAAACAGTTATCTGGATCTGTTTATTCCATGTTGCCCCAATTAAACATATTTCTTCAAGTGTAAGCAAAATAAAATCCTGAAAACCTACATATGCTTTCCAAATTAACTAAAGCCAAACACAAGGGCTTTTGTCAGTTTTGACCATGAGGCTAACCACTCTACACTTGTGGACTTTGCTTCACAGCTATAGATCTTGACATTTTTAACCATGACTCATAAAATAATGTGGTTCTAATATTATGATTTCTAAGCCACTCAATAAGAGGTAGCTTATATAATCATTAGAAACCATGGAACACTGCGTTGCATATCAATATTTGGAGCCTGAAGGATTTAGTAGGCCTTAATAGTCACTTCTGACATTTACAGATAGCAAGCGTGGATACATTTGAAAATTATTCCAATACACTATGCAACTGTGTTAGAGGTCACCAAGCAAATGTTGAGGAAAGCAGTAAAACAGTGGACTATTTAGGGCACTCTGTTATTCACCATGTGAGTATCCACCACCATCTTTCCTAAGCTCATTCGCACAGAAAGCACTGGCATGTTTGTGTGTAAGAAGCTTCTTTTGAAGCTACATGACTGTTGAACATAATTAATGGACAAGGGAACATTCTCTATTGAGTTACTACTTGGAGGGTAGAGTTGTTTTCTTTTAATACTTTGCACTTAGTAGTAATATTAGGTATGTGTATATGAGTGTGTAGTGTGTTGTTGAACTCACATGGCATCCCTGGGGAAATTTCACCATGACATTTTTTAAAAATGGAAAATGTTACAATTTATAAAAAGTTACTTTTTCTGCTCTGTCCCCCATCTCTCATTCCAGAGGGGTTCTATATGTTAAGTGCTTAAGCAGCATATGTTGCTTGGGAAATATTCTTGGCTCTTTTACTCTTTGTTGTTGTTTTAATTTCCCTGGGTTCTATTTAACATTCTGCTAAATCAGTGAAACAGTGATTGTCTAAAAGAATAGAAGACATGGAATTAATGAGGTTAGTCAGAATTTTGAAGAAATAAGAAATTATTAGAGGTGAAAGTTACATAACAGGGTCTGTGAATGAGTTCTAGTCTCTGAAGTTGCTTGTCTTGATTTATTCAAACTGATTCTGTTAATTGATGGACATAATGAAATTTTGGTAATCAGAGTTTCGCCACTGCATTTATTACTATTCCCAGAAATCAAGGTAACCTTGGGCTATACTTCCCATATTTACAAGGTGATAAAAATCCTTAATAGGCTGTCAGGGACAAATGTGACTGCTTTTCCTCACACTCCTCCCATGAAACAAGCTTTCTCTCTTCCCATCTGGCTGCCGCCTGCCTGGAGCATGCTACTTTCCCCGTGTCCCCACCCCACCCCCATCCCCATGCCTCCCCGTGGGTTCTGTCTTCATGCATGCAGTGCTGGAATTACGCACCGAGAGAATGGCCCACCCCTTAGAGGATTTTGGTCATTTTAAGAATACTGCTTTGCATTTTAAATACCATTCATCTGGCTTCAAAGATCTGCACTCTGGCATCGGGCACTTGTCCTTTAAAAACCCAAGAGGTCACAACAGGTCCCAGTTCCATGAAGAAAAGATACTGCCAAACCAGGACTATTGCATTATTTTGTATTCTATAGCCTCAAACGGACAATGATAACATCCAAGATTGCAGCAAAAATATTATATGAAAAAGACTAATATGATAAAAACAAAGGCAGAAAACTACATTTGTTTGGAAATTGGAGTCACAGGCTTCGTTTGTGGAGGGGAGGGGGGAGCACAAAGATCGATAGAGATTTTTTTTTAGGCTGAAAACATGATGTACCAGATGAACTTAAATTGATTCTGCTTCTCCTCCCCGCGCCCACCCACCCCTACCTTCCCCCTCATTCTGCAGCGAATGTCTGCGACAACGAGCTCCTGCACTGCCAGAACGGAGGGACGTGCCACAACAACGTGCGCTGCCTGTGCCCGGCCGCATACACGGGCATCCTCTGCGAGAAGCTGCGGTGCGAGGAGGCTGGCAGCTGCGGCTCCGACTCTGGCCAGGGTGCGCCCCCGCACGGCTCCCCAGCGCTGCTGCTGCTGACCACGCTGCTGGGAACCGCCAGCCCCCTGGTGTTCTAGTTGTCACCTCCAGCCACACCGAACGGGCCTGTGCCGTGGGAAAGCAGACACAACCCAAACATTTGCTACTAACATAGGAAACACACACATACAGACACCCCCACTCAGACAGTGTACAAACTAAGAAGGCCTAACTGAACTAAGCCATATTTATCACCCGTGGACAGTACATCCGAGTCAAGACTGTTAATTTCTGACTCCAGAGGAGTTGGCAGCTGTTGATATTATCACTGCAAATCACATTGCCAGCTGTAGAGCATATTGTGGATTGCTAAGGCTGCGACAACCCCCAAACAGGAAAGACAAAAAACAAATCAACCGACCTAAAAACATTGGCTACTCTAGCGTGGTGCGCCCTAGTACGACTCCGCCCAGTGTGTGGACCAACCAAATAGCATTCTTTGCTGTCAGGTGCATTGTGGGCATAAGGAAATCTGTTACAAGCTGCCATATTGGCCTGCTTCCGTCCCTGAATCCCTTCCAACCTGTGCTTTAGTGAACGTTGCTCCGTAACCCTTGTTGGTTGAAAGATTTCTTTGTCCGATGTTAGTGATGCACATGTGTAACAGCCCCCTCCAAAAGTGCAAGCCAGTCATACCCCTGTATATCTTAGCAGCACTGAGTCCAGTGCGAGCACACACCCACTATACAAGAGTGGCTATAGGAAAAAAGAAAGTGTATCTATCCTTTTGTATTCAAATGAAGTTATTTTTCTTGAAATACTGTAATATGTAGATTTTTTGTATTATTGCCAATTTGTGTTACCAGACAATCTGTTAATGTATCTAATTCAAATCAGCAAAGACTGACATTTTATTTTGTCCTCTTTCGTTCTGTTTTGTTTCATTGTGCAGAGATTTCTCTGTAAGGGCAACGAACGTGCTGGCATCAAAGAATATCAGTTTACATATATAACAAGTGTAATAAGATTCCACCAAAGGACATTCTAAATGTTTTCTTGTTGCTTTAACACTGGAAGATTTAAAGAATAAAAATTCCTGCATAAACGATTTCAGGAATTTGTATTGCAATTTCTTAAGATGAAAGAAGCAGCCACCAAGCAGTTTCACACTCAGTTTACTGATTTCTGTGTGGACTGAATACATTCAGCTGACGAATTTAGTACCCAGGAAGATGGATTGATGTTCACTAGCTTGGACAACTTCTGCAAAATATGAGACTATTTCCACTTGGGAAAAATTACAACAGGAAAAAAAAAAAATCTAAGTGATTGCCAAGATTATGCCAAAGCCTGTTGGCAGAGTACTAAGAGACTTTTATTTTTAAGTCATGCTATTTTCACAGATTGATGGTGATCATGTGACTCTAGGGATGCTGATCTATGTATCTTTCCAAATACAGTGTTTACATGGAGTATCATAAGAGGCAACCTGGGGAACCAGGAAAGGAGCAGGGAAATTGAATGATTTGCAATTTGACTTTGAATATATTCAGACTTAAGTATTTAGAGGAAATATCAAAATATAAAGCAGCAAGTAGACATAACTGCTGTTCCTGAGAATAAAGTTTGTTTTAAGTACTGCCCAAGGTGTAATAAATTCTTGTTTCTGCCTTTTATTAGGCCAATTACTGTGCAAGACAGCAAGGGGAGGCAGGTGGGGAAGAACCTTTGCAAAGTTTCAAAGAGGCTAAAACAGTGTGCATTTTGTTCCCAGCACACTGTTGTCCTACAGGTTACAAATGTGTTAGCAGCAGCATCTTCTGGAATCAAAAACAATTATCAGCCTGAACCAGAATCTTAAGGACAATGAAATTCTGCATGACTTGGTGGAACAATAACCTATGATAATGTCAGGTCAGAAGCCTAGTTCCAGTCTGAATTCTTCACCCTGCTGCCACTCCTTGCTGAAGCAGGGAAGGGGGGAGGAATGTCTCCTGATAAATAACCTGGGTAAAAACTAGATGAAGGAACAGCATGTCTTATTGGTTTTGTTCCCAGAAAAGCCAATTCAAAGAAGGCAATAAAAGGTAAACAGGTAATGCCTGTGCCGCCTGCCACCCCACGTCTAAGTCTATTGAATGTTTGTTATTCAAACCAACGGTCTCTTTTGATGTAAGAAATAAGGAAAGATGGAAATAAATTAGAGCTTAGGCTTAGTGCCAGAGTGGCCAACCAGAAATTGGAGATTTACATTGGAAGCATAAATAGAAAATTACATTTCAGGCTCACCAAAGAAACACAGGAAAATGCTGATAACATAGGGAGTTTAAGATTATTTATAATGAGGTGGATTTATGATATTAAAATTGGAGTTTAAGTTGTCTTATACTTTATTAACACAAACCAAAGGCAGCCCGTGTTATTTCTGGCAATGATGCACTTTACCGTTATCTGCTCACGGCTTTGTCGCAATGCTCAGGAATCAGACACTGCACACCTCAATAGTTGGGATTCCAAAAGCTAATTCTAAAATTTAATGAAGGCCTGATTTAAACTGATTCATCTGCATTTTATCTTTATGAGGCTATAAGAATCTAAATTGATGAGGAATATCTTTCCTTCAGTGTATTTAGATATAGTTTTCTGAATTTCCTGAAGCGATGTGATCTGCTTTTAATAAAAATTCACTTTTAGGTATACAGCAAATGGAAATGAAATGTTCTTTTTAAATCTGGATTCTCAAGTTCTTCTAAAGGAGCTACTCCTTTGAAGAAACCTCAACTCAGTGGACTTGATTCATCTGTTACTTGCCAGCATTCTTACAAAGCTGGTTCCATCTACAGTGTTACGCCCTAAGAACAGGATTGGGGTGAAAAGCAGGTACTCAGTTGTTCATACATTTGAGGTCCTAATTCTTGTTATTTTTTCCCTTTGATAGATCCCTTAAAGTCGGTTAATATAGTCTTGCATATGAGTTAATCTGTCAACTTTCCCACATGGAACTGATATAATTCCTTCTGTCAATACTATTGATGGGCATAACATTTCAAAAAAATGGGACAAAGGTTCAGCTATCCAGAAAGATTTGCTATTTATAGGAAGATAATGGACATGCCCTGCTGTGATGTAAGAGTTATTTATTTCTGACCCTGTACACAGCCTAGAGGAATAATTTAGTCCAGCAAAGAGGGGACCTTCCTTAGAGAGACCCATTCTGTCTCTCCTCCAGCTTTCTCCCAGATATCAGGAACCTAGAGTTTCCTACTCAGATAACCCCCCACACACACACTTTTAGGCCAAATGTGGGCCCCCTCTGGGGGTTTAAACTCCTGAAGGCAGGCACCATCTTGAGTGCATATACCTGGGCACAGGGAGCGGCAAAGGGTGCATCTGTGTGGGTGGATTAGGGCCTGGGGCCTGGAGTGTTCACTGTGGAATTTACACACAAACAAGGAGAAACAACTTACAGTGAAAACAAGAGTCCAGGGCTGAAAAATAAGGGGATGAGGGTAGGAAGGAGATAGACAAGGGCTACCACGAGGCCGGGGGCCAGTACAGAACACTGAACAGTCTAAGAATTCTAAATCTATACCTGGGCTTCCAAGGGTTAAGAAAGCATCATGTGTCAAAGTGGCAGGATGGAAGATAATTGAAGAATTTGTTAGCTTTATGCATGACTTTTAAATACTTAGACATGTGGCGTGCGGTCCTCCATTGGTACTTTTGCACAAGGTCCTGCAACATTTGGGGTCGATCTGCCTGAGGTGCCCTGAGTCAGATCCCTAAGTTGGCACAAACTGCTCACCAGGTAACACAAAGAAAGGTCCCGGTTGGAAGAAGGCATCTGCTCCACAGTTCAGCTGACCCTGTAGTTAATGCTCTCCTCACCTTCTCTTGGACCTGTGGTCTGACCGGAGTATAAGAAATTTTGGATGCATTGGGGGACAACTGTGAGGAAATCTTGACATCGAATGTTTTGTTCCATCTCCTTTATGCTCTACCATCAATAATCCAGTATGACTGGGATGTAAAGACCCAGCATTCTGAAATGGAATGCTCTGTACTATATGGGAAATGGGTTGTTGTACTTTACCGGTTGTTAAACACTAAATAAAATACCTATTTAACAGACTCTCCGCTCACAGGATTGACCAAGATATGTGGGAACTACATTTTCTATATATTTGTTATGTGAAAACTCTGTAGGTATTTTTAATCTGGTACAACTCGGAGCTCAGCTTCCCAAATCTGAACTAGAATTCCTTACCTACTTTTCCTACTCCCAGCCTTAATTGAGAAGGATGGCAAGGTGGCAGTGGCTAAGCTGTATCGGAGAACAATATGAGCCACCAGGTAAAACTTCAGGTTTTGGTTTTTGTTTTTTGTTTTTAAAGGAAGTCCAATTGGAAAGTTTTAATAATATAGAGGAATGAAAATACAGGTAAGGGACACTCTCATGGTTTTGATTTAAGTATCTGGCCATGCACAAGTCTTTCTTTGCCTCAGGAAATAAGGATTACATTCTAATCAATTTTATTTCTACGAAACATCAAATGTTCATCTGACATAAATATTCCGTCAGTTCTGACCGTTTCCATATAGAATGATTTTATACTTTATGTTTTTACTTTCTTTAACTAAAAGTAGCTTTCTCCTTTAGTTACCTAAAACAGATGCCAACAAATTCCCAGAATAAACTGCACATAAACATAATATGATGTCAGAAAAAATTAAGAATGCCAGCTATTATGTTTTGAATTTTCACCAGTAATCTTGGGAACATAGTGAACTTTTACTCTTCTCAACACCTGGTGAGATATGACTCACGTATTATTATCTTCATTTTGCATCTGAAAAATCAACTAAGAAACAGACATATCGCTTGTATAAAACATATTATTGCATTGAACTAGAAATGAGAAAATAACATCTGTGAAAAACTCATAATGATAATGAATAAAATGCAGTTACTTGAGATCTACTATGACAGAAAAGTTCTGTCCCTAATACATGTTTAGAGTAGGTTTGGAAACAAGTCTAGCAAGAAGGCCTAAATGATGTTAGGGGGTGTTGTTTCGAGTTACATAATTGAGCATTTATTAAGTGCCGGAATCCCCCTCTGCCTTCTCTCATCACCCAAAAGCTGTTTTTCATTGAAGGATGAATTAAAATGGAGTAGTAACATTTAAAATTATGTGATGTTTTTATTAACCTAAAATGATAGGTGGTAAAATGGGCCATTATTCTGCAAAATCTAATTATGTTAACACTAAAGATTTAGCTTGCCTGGCTGAAGCAAACTGCAGAGGATTGAAAGTAAAAATAATCCTCATTTTCTTAACTTAGTCCCATTTTTTCATAGACATTACTTTTAAGTATTATTAAATTAGTGAACTGTGAATTCTATGGGGAAAAATGACTGGAAAGAGAAAAAATAATTACTACCCCTCCTACATCTATCTGAATAGATTCTGAAACTCCTGCATGGCAAGAATGTGTCAAGTTCCCTTGAAGACATAATGTACCACAGCTGTATCCTCCAGCCACCCTGATAGTACCACATTACAGCTTTGCTCTTACAAGGGGCAGTCATTCTAATCTAATAAAAGACAGAAAATGGCAGAAAATCACACACCTGAAGTCCTGTTAAGAATAGGTGATTCTTTTTGCCCCAGGCAGGCAAGAACATAATGTCATTTTTGTTCGTTTGTATTTGCACTCTGAAGGAGGGCTGCTCCTGTTGGGGAATGGTTTTCCCTCTGCCAGTGTGAAACACCGCAGGAAAGCATTCTCCAAGGAAATCGCATTTTGCTATTTACCAGTCATGACTATCCCATGAAGCCCTGAGTAATTGTTTTGGCTTTCATGGTGTGATAAACACCTAGAGGCAAAGAGATTAGTGTCATTACTCTCCGTCTCTTTTTCTCTCCCTTTGGAAAAAAAAAGAAAAAAAAAAAGATGGGGGGGGGTGTCCAAATATAGTATGACAATGTTTTCAAGAATCTTTCAGTCAGTTGATGCTTAATTATAAAGACCCCAGCTAAATATTCCATTTATTAAATTAATAGCGTGACAAGTATTGGAGAGCTTTACAACCACTTAAACTCATGTTTACATCCTGTGTAATTACAATTCATAATTGGGAAAGCAATCAAATATAAATGCATTCTGATCAATGGTTCTCAGGCTGCCAAGTAGACCCCACACAACACATTAGAGTAAGTGACTTCAAAATAGGACTTCTACACCTAGAATTCAAACTAGGTTAGGGGAGGGCACTGTGGGGAGTCTATCAGTGAAATGTTTAAATTTATGTGTAAGATTTCCCATATACATGACACTGTTTTTCTGAATAAAGAAAGAAATTATTTTTTTAAATTTATAAAAGGCCTAAAAGTATAAGAATGACTGCTCTAGATCCTAAGATTACGATTTACCCCAACTGTGGAAAGTCGCATTACATTTTAAATTGTTGTCAGGGGATGAATGATAATGACTCAGGTATATGAAAGCACATGTTTTTCCTACAATCAGTTATTAATTTATTTCAAACTAATCTTATCTCTACCGGAGCTGCTAAGGGCATCTGTAGTCCCTCTTGTGTGTGTGAGTGTCTCTATATATTACCTTCTGAAAAAGTCTGATATAGTGTGAGCTCTGATTCTGTTTTCAGGGTGGTGAGAAGCAACCCACTCTGATTTTTCTTTATTGCAGACACTTTGCTAGAAAGGGCTTCAACCATTTTTTTCCCACACTACTCATAAAATTTATAAGAAAGGAAATAATATATGTGTGACACTGGAACACACTTGGATTGAATGGCACAAAGTCGTTTCCTTTTTGACTGTTTTGTTTCATTTGTATGGCTGTTCTAGCTTACAAACATTAGATCAGGAGCAAAGGTCTTTCTAATTGTCTTTATGGCTCCCTGAGTTGTGGGCACTACTCTGATTATGGGAGGACTTACCTTCCTAATCAGTCCTCTAGACCTGCACCCGCCACTAGCTGCTAGCCACCTCTGGCCACTGGGCATATCAATGTTGTCAGTCCAAAGTCTTGTGAATTTAAAAGATACACCATACTTCAAAGTCTTTGTACAAAAACAAAAAATGTGAATTATCTCTTTCATAGTTTTCATATCGGTTACACATTAAAATATTTTAGATATACTGGATAAAATAAAATATATTACTAGAATTTATTTTAACTATTCTTTCCCTTTTCTAATATGGCCACTAGAGATTTTTGAATTACATGTGTGGCTCACGTTATATTTCTGTTGGACAACCCTGCTGTAGACACCTAATATTCCCATTGATTAGCCCCTAAAATGGGGCTAATAACATTTAAGTAGTAGAAATATTCACTTCCCAGAGTTAGTATGAAAATCAAAATGAGTTACTGAATATGAAATTCCTTAGTAAATTGTAGTTTTTCATGATAGTGATAATCACGATAAAATGTTCAGGCTCCTGTTCCACATTTGCAGATTTTTCTGGAAGTTTCCAGCCAGAGGTCTTGCCATAACTTTCTCTGAAAGTGCTCCAATGCAATAAATGCAACACTTTCAAAGTTTTGAATGTGACACATGACCTGAACGCGGCGCTTCCATCAGCAACAATGACAACAGGAGAATACTAATGGTAATAAAAAGATTAGTAATTAACAACCTTTATCAAAAGTCTTGAGCCGGTACAATGTTAAGTATTTCTTTTTACCATCTTTATTCTAAATAATACACTACACCACTATTAATGCAGTTTATGAGCACCTAGTTGACTTGTAGTTTGCTTTCTGAAACTTAATTGCTTCTGATAAGTTATATATGTAAACAACAAGAAGATGGCTAAATGTGACTTACAGCAGCAATTAAATGAACAAAGCAAAATTTGAGTCAACCATATGCATATATGGTTGCATAATAGAGATACAGTATGTGAAAGGTGCCTAAATTTCTATAGTTGGAGTCAAGTGTTGAACCTCACATTAATTTAAATTTTATCAGTTTAAAGGATAATATCCATGAGATTGTATTACTGTTATCTCATCACCCCGTTTAACAATCTTACAGGATCAACTTATCATTCCACACCTAAGACTCAAAATCCATCTTCCCACTGGCCCCAGGACACCTGCCCAACCCATGAGCCTTAAAAATACTCTACCCATTCTTATCTTCTCGACGGTATTTAGGTCATTTTTTAAAAACTTAGAATGCCTTTCAACACTCTTCACCCATTAAAACCCTATCCCACATCAGGTTCTGTCTTTCCAAGAAACCTTGCCAATTCATCTCACTGCTTCTATCCCTGCTTAAAGATTTGACTCAACAGCTAGTTCCTCCTATGTGTGACTTACCTTGTGACTTGTTCTCTCTCCTGCTAGATTATCCGTGTTAATACTGACATGACACATACACACATGCACACATGCCCACACACAAACACAGAGGACCCTGCATGTAGTAAGGCTCTATATGTGCATTCACAAGCAATTGTTGAGCATCTAGTAACGTACTAAGCACTGCTCTAGTTGATTGGAGCAACAGAGTCTAATACACATTTGAGACTGTGTGCCCTTCGTTATACTTAAATAATGTAATATATATCTATTGCTGTATTAAGTAATATAAATAAGAGCTAAAATAAAGAGAGTTCCTGAAGAGAAAATGTATATACACTCAAGACTTGCAAATTGAATCTCATTTTAAATTCATTAGGGAGTATTCCTAATTAAAACCTGTGGTTTATTCTTTTTTTAAAAAAAGTGATCAATATATCCCAATTTACCTTTTCTAAAGGGATCAATATATCCCAATTTACCTTTTCTAATGTCAGAGTTTGATATATTTCTCCTTGTCTTAAAACAGAAACATCTGCATTTTTCAGTCTTCGTCATATTTAGCCCTTGGCTGGGCGCGCTGGCTCACACCTGTAATCCCAACAGTTTGGGAGGCCGCGGCGGGTGGATCTTTTGAGCCCAAGAGTTCAGGACCAGCCTGGGCAACACGGTGAAACTCCGTCTCTACTAAAAATACAAAAAATTAGTTAGCCATGGTGGTTTGTGCCTGTAATCCCAGCTGCTCGGGAGGCTGAGGCAGGAGAATCACTTGAACCTGGGAGGGAGAGGTT